TCGTCGCGTGGTTAAGCGAAGATCGTACCGAAATTAGCTGTCTTTCCCTTGGCTTCGAGAGGGAAATCGAGGGCAAGAGAAAATTGGTGGAAAATTCGCCTCTTCCTCATCTTTTCTCACATGTGATAATTCTTAAAAGCACTCTTTATCGTAAACAAAAAAGAAAAAAAAGAAATGCTTGGTTCGGTGAACAATCGACGAGAGGCATACGTATGAAGAGAGATAGAGCACGAGAGCGAGCGAGCGAGAGAGAGAGAGAGAGAATGTGTGAGAGACAGTGAGAGTGAGAGGAAGAGAGAATGAAAGAGCGAGAGAAAGAACGAACGAAAAAAAAAAAAAAAAAACGCGGATACACTCTTTAAAAACTTTTTTCTTCTATCGGATCTAGTGATGTCGCTAATTCGAGGATGCTTCTCTGAAAACTAGCTAAAAAGAAAAAAAAAAAAAAAAAGAAGAAATCAAATTTACGTACTTAAGGAATGTTAATACTTGTAATCTCACTACAAATAGGTAAGGTCGATGTAAGTGTCGTCCATGAAATCGCTAACTCGTGATTCGCCTTTTACTTAAATATCGACCTTTTTTCTGTACTTTATCGTGGACTACGATACCGTGGCAAAAATCAACGTGATCGCAAGTTAGCTCTATATTCGTAGACCTTTAAAAAAAAAAAAAGAAAAAAAAAAAGACGTTCGCTTTCAATCGAGAGAGCAGAGCTGCAAAGCATATAATTCCGTTGTACAAAAAGAAAAAAAAATATATATATATATATTATAATATGATATATATACACACACACTCACACACACACACACACATACACGTGCGCGCGCGCGCGCGCGAATACATTACACACAGATACACACATAAATATAGTTAATCAATCGTCGTTTCATCAAAGCTTTTCACAGTGGGTACTACATACGATACGATATGTATCCCTCTTTTTTCAATCATTCAGGGTAGCATTCGTATATAACTTTTCGTAAATAACTTTTACGATTTATATTTTATCTATACTCTATACGATCGATGTAATTGATATCAGGAGAAATTGAGGAGCTCGTAACAAGGACGATCTTTGCCAAATACTTCAACTTTTTAGATAATAATACGTTCTAGACAGGAAGCAATGAAAACTAATTGATTCTTTCACGATTTAATAAAATTAATTAATTAAAAATTTTTCCGCGATTTAATTAAATACAGATACGTAATAATGTAATTAATGTATACATGTATAATTAGTGTATAACGAATGTGATGAATATTTCGTCTGTAAAGATTGGGAAAGAACAGACATAAATAAATAAGGGTAGTTCTCGTTACGAGCCCCCTCGATTCGTTTCGACGAGCAACAGAAAGCAATGTATCACGACACAGGAGATTCGAATCGATCCATTGAACTTCGCAAAGTATATACGTAATCATTCGAATTCTTCGAGAACTTCTTCTTTTCCTTCTATAAGTGGTATACCGAACATACACGAGCGAAATTACTTCGTGAAATGAGTAACTAAATAGAGCAAAATTAACGACGAAAGGATCACATATACACAGGGAAGGAATTAATTCAATACGGGTAAAGCTTGCTATGTATTAGATTTAACGAAGTGCCCATACTCGATGCTCTTGAGCGACGCTGATGCTTTGCCCGCGAAAGATACATAAATTTAGGGAGAGCATACGTAGAGAACAATAACGAAAGTTAAGCACGCCATTCGATACGTTTTCTCGAAATGTAAAGTACGATGAGCTTCAATGGAAGAAACAGCGAAGCGATACCGAAAAGAGATTTAGTACGTAATTCCAGAGTTAACATTCGATGTTTCTTCGAGTAATCTCGCGTATCTTTAGACACTATTAACGTACGTATTAACTGTTACTGTTCTTATTATTGTCGATCACCGCCATTCGTCATCGTCGTTCTCGTCATCGTCATCTCTCTCACCGTCAACGTCATTTATTAATTACTATTAACACCGCTACTATTAATACTGTTATCATTAAAACAAAAAAACAAAAAAAGAAAAAAAAAAAAAAAGGAAGGAATAACTATTACTGTTACTAAGTATCGCCGCTACTACCGTGCTACTATATCGTTATCGCTATTCGTAAGCGTTATATTCTTATTACGCGAGATTTCGGTGAGATTACACGAGAGGGAGAACATCGAACATCGAGGCATTTACAGTGCCGATTTCGAATCGCACACGTGCCACTCGATTCCTCAGCAATATTAATCGCAGACCAAAAGAATATTCCATCGCCTATCGTGCTTTCAACGCGAGTTTAGTCAAGTCGCGTATTAATGCTCGCGCATATTCACGGGTAAACGCGAGCCGATCGTTCAAGAAAGTTTCCTTCGTGCGAGGGGTTAAGAGGACGAAACCTTCACGATTTCACCAAGCTCAACCGTGTACGAGTCGCACGGAAAACAAAGGGGGGGGGGGGAGGGAGGGGAAAAAAGAGAAAATAGAGAGAAACAACGTATTACGTGTTTAGAATAATCAAAAAAATCAACTCTGTATGATTATATCGATCGCAAAATGCATCTCGGATTTTAATTTCCATCTCTCGCATATTACCTCGTATTCAACCGTTCGTCAAGTCAGGTCGTAATGTACGCGCGAGTACGGCGAGTTTGACAACAACGTTCGTTTCGTTCAATAAGAATTCAAGGGGAGATAAAAAAAATTCAGCCGCTTTTATAATTACCAGAGATATACCAGTGTCACTTCACGTGCGAACGATGTAATTGTACCGTATCGCTATATATTTATTACAATTGCGAATAATTAGAATCGTAGGTGTTGATCTTACGAGTGCTACACGGGCACGTCGTAAAGAGAGAAAAAAAAAAAAAAAAAAAAAAAAAGAAAAAAAAACAATCGAAAAAATAAGCTTCTCTTATTATTATGGCGCCGATCTTGAGAGAATACTCGAAGAGAATAAAGAGAATAACAGCGTAATTCGACACAACGAATACATATATTACGTAGAGCCTGAGTTAACCGATCAAGGAACGAACGATTCGATTCATCCAGTCGGGAAGTAATGTAGACATGTCTGTCGAGTGAACGAAAATATCGCTCTATCCAACTCGGTGAATTTTTTTTCTTCTTCTTTTTCTTTTTTTTTTTTTTTTTTCTTTCTTAATCCGAAAGACACACACCAAAGAGACAGGAGAATAGAATTATATAAAGACAAAGAAGAATGTTGTGAAAATTTCGCCGAGGTTGCCGACGAATCGATGAAAAAAGGAATGATCGTTGATTACCTATCTATGCTATGTTTATATATATATATATATATATATATATATATATATATATATATGCGTCGTTACTTGCCGTGAGTGAACAAGCAGTCGTTTAGATGATAGGATGCGTTGATAAATAAATCAATTAATGTCGTTAATGTTTAATACTCCACGGACCAAAAACACGTAAACCTAAAATCTTTAGTGTCGTACAATTAGAGCTGCACTTGGCAATGCCTCCTACGAGACCGCATAGAAAACCGGGGGATTCATCCTTCGTTACGTACCGATCTCTTCGGCAACTCTTGTAGTTTTGTTGCCGAAACTACACTTTTACAATCACGTACAGAGGTGGATTGGAACATCTGGAATTTCCTTGAGTATTTTATGTAATTTGAGTTACGTACAAGTTGAAGTTTTTAACAAGCGTTAAATAAGGTAATTAGATAACTTGCAGTGTGATATCTTTACTTTATTTTCTTTTTTTTTTTTTTTTTTTACTGCTATTTGTGTCTCGTAAAATTTCATTATGGACAATTATGGACAATTACGTAATAGCCGATCTTAATTATCAGAGAAAAGTAACGATCGAATTTGTAAAAACAATTAAGAAAGGAATATGATACCTAATCTTAATGAATACTCAAGCTCACCTAATTTTTTTATAAACATGCTTACGAACAGGGATATATATATATATATCTATATGACTATATATTTACCTATACATTATACGTAATGATCAAAGACGAACGTACATGCATATTATTGTATTATCAATCGAAATTACTATGTTCGTATAGTCCTTAGTTTTATTACCGTTAACATTCCTAATATAATGGCGTATGGATTGGCACTCTCCAAACGTAAAATATCATTAAACTAAGCGACTTGCAATTAAACGAGTCTACTTTTTGCGCGGAAGCATATTTATTTTTTCAAACACTATTTATATTTTGTCTACGTGCGTCGTTCGATACTGAAATTAAGAGACAGTTTCATGGGGATTCGTATGTATAAGTATCGCTTAATAATGCTGGTCCGGACAGTATTAAAAACCTTATAACAGAAGGGGAGGAGGGGGAAAAAAAAAAGAACAAAACGAAGGATGAATCACCGTCGAATATGCAAACGTTTCGAGCTTCGTCGTGCGTCGTCGTTAAATCCTTCGAGATTAATTAATTCTCCAATAAACACCAAATCGACGAACGTTCGACAGTTTGATCTTTTCCAGAAGTTTAGGCAGCTTTCACCGACGCGTTCTGCCCGATTTTTAATGTATCGCCGTTATAATGATATATCGTCGAAAGTTTGCCCGATAGATCATTCATTTTGATCAGAGCGTTCTCGTTAAAGAAGAAAAAAAAAAAAAAAAAAGAGAAGAAAACGATAACGCAAGCGCTTCGTAACTAGCCAGAATCGAAACACACATTCTCAATCATTGAGAAATTGTTAGTTACAGAGAGATAGAGAAGTCACAGTTAGTTAAACTGATTTTCTAGGCAACGACGAACTGGAAGATCGTACAGTGTGTGTAGAACGGTGAATGATCGAGAGTGACGAGTAATTTGTTCTTTTTTTTTTTTTTTTTTGTTTTT